ACCGGAAGTTTAATTTCCGAAGAAACACCCACATCGAGTTGATTCTCTTGACACTGTCACTTTGGAAACGTGTCACAAGAAAAGGGCGGCAATTTCAAAAATTCTTAAGCAGTAAACACTGAATGTAGTACTGCAAAATAATTTTGATACTTTTATTAATTATATTTAATCTTAACATTTAGATATCAATTAAAATTATTTGTTTTGGAACATTTGACTAAAGCGTGACTGTTCTTAATTGTACAGTTAACAGCATATCAGTAGGCCTATTCACTAACTCAACTGACAACCAAGAATCGTCATCACCGTAAAAAATAGACACTTTGATTGTGTCAAAATCACTATTTCGTATTCTCTATCAATGATGAGCAATTTCGAAATGTCAATATCGGCATTCTCCACTGGACTCCATTTTGACACTTGATTTCGTATCGATAAACTGTATTAAAGTAACATTGTTGCAAAGCATATTTGAAGTCGTCGCATAGTACCTCTTAAGCCATTTGTTGTTAAATTAAAGCGAAAAAAAATACGTATCCAATATTTTTCTATTATCTGACTGACGGACTAAATCGAATCTTTTTTTTAACCCATTCGTTATACCTATTGGCTAACAGCACTTATAATATTAAAAATTCATATTTGTCATTAATTAAAAGGGTGTTTTTTGCAACGACTTCTTTGTTTTTTTGTAATGAATATGGGCGACTCTGGCCACATTTTTTTAATAAATGTGATGTTAGCCAATTTTGATTTCTGGCCCTTATATTTATAATGTGTTCATAACACATACATGTCTCCTAAGGGATTTTCATCACAACCTTTTGCTCTGATCCAGAACCACTATCTATCAAATTAAATTAGTCAATATAAACACCAGATTACAAAAAAAAAACATTTATTTTTGTTACAATTAAGTGCCATGGATAAATTACATAATACAGGTGTCACAAAATCATCATGTTAATCACAATAGAAAATTTAAGATAAGATTTTGACTATGAATCAGACTAAAAATACTTTAGTCTGATTCATAGTCAAAATCTGTTTCTAAATATTCTACACCTGATAACAATGACAAGGAATCATCAGAGTCACTCTCTTCACTACTGTCTGCACCAACAGATATAATAAATTTTTCAAGTTCGTTTTCAACAATGCCATCTTTTAATTTGTAATCATTTTCGACATTTAAAACATGATCAGTGTATTTCTTCCAGTCACTAGGGGTAATTAAGTTAAAACACTCTATTATTAAGTTTTCCATTTCCTTTCCTGGTATTCCAATGTTTCTGCTTGCAATTTTTCTTTTTGCTTGACTCCAAACCATCTCTATTGGGTTTAAGTCACAATGATACGGTGGCAGCAATAAAAGTTCATGATTATGTTCTTTTAAAATCTCTTCAGCTTCATATACAGGCAATGTTTTCTTATCATTAACCAAACACATTAACTCTGCCTTTGTCTGATATTCCTCAAAATGTATTCCATTATTTACAAGCCATTTACGGATATCTGCTTTGGTATTAGACATTATAGGCGGTTTATTGATTTGTTTTATATGGTAGCTGGCATTATCCATAACAATTACACTGGGCTTACTTAAATTTGGTATTAATTTTTCTCTGACCCATTTCATAAAGTTCGATGAGTTCATATCATCATGATAATCAGCAGATTTGGATTTACTACTGAACACTAATAATGCACCAGGCACAAAACCTTCCTCAGATCCAGCATGCACAACAATATGCCGTTTTCCAGAGGATATCTTTGTAGTGACACCAGTTGTTGAAGGTCCTTGCCAAGACTTTTTAACTTTATAATTCTGATGTACATAAGTTTCATCAAGGTACACAATTTGCTTTCCTTCGTTTCGTTTTATATTTATTTCTCTCAAATACTTGTGCCTCCATGCAGAAATCTGGTATTTTTCTATAAGCATAGAACGTTCATTTTCATTGCTTTTAAAAGAAAATCCATTCTTAAGCATAATTTTTCGTAAAGTCTCACGGCTACCACTGAATCCTATTGCATCTTTTAATTCATTGTGAAGGCTTCTTAATGTTGGAACAATTTTTTTCACACAGTAAAATTCATTTACTTTATTCCGAATTGCACTTAAATCAAAATTATCTAAAGCAGACACTGTTGGTTGATGAGGTCGTTTTTTCCCAGGAGTGTCCCATTTTCCTTTATTAATTAATGCTTCCTTTTTTATCCTTCTTAGTGTCCTTATACTTACATCTATAAAAGATTAAACACTTTGAAACAAAGATATGTTAAATGTATTTAAAAGCAAATAATGATAGACACATACATCAAAATAATTTAAATACCTATTCAACTATGAATGCAATTTATGTTTAATTTAGTTAAGTTTATGTGCATATTTAGCATGTATAACAATTACATGGTTTGATTAGTTTCATGAATTCTGTGAATTTCCTTGTTAAACAAAACATTCTTATGACATCATTGGATGTCAACAATAAAAACCAATACATCATAAAAAACCTATGTAAATATTATAGGAATACTATCAATCTATCTTAAATCAAAACAAGAAAAGAGACCTGTCATTGAAGAAATTTTTTGTAAGTACTGCGTTTCCGAATTCAGCATTTCTTGTTTTTCTAAAGTTTTTATTGCATTTATCTCCTCCATTATTGGTTGAATATCACCATCACAGTTATCTGAAATAGAGCAATATTTTATAAAAAATATCTGTTTAGTTAATTACAGAAAATTAAAACGAAAGTATCAAAATTATAATACAAAACTAACCTAAAAAAGATACAACTTTATCTAATCGTTGTAATTTCTCCATGAAATTTTTATTTAATTCAGTTTTCACTTCAGTAAACTTGTCAATCATGATGGAAAGAAGTTTCCTCGATGAACTTTTTATCGGCTTCGACATAATTTTTAACCAAAAACACAAGTTCAAATTCGCAAAAACAACAAAATTCAATATTCTTGAATTGTCTAACGTAGTGTCAAACTGACAGTTCTATGTTGTTGCCATATGAAAACGGAAAAATAGGTGGTGTCACGTTTCGTAAGCCACTTAATTTTTTTATTTCCTTAAATAAATAATATATCAAAACGTTTTTTATGTATTTTATTTATATCATGTATGTATTTACTTCAAATAACTAAGAAAAATGACACTCGAGTAGCACGTTTGAGTATGACTCGAATGAGGTTTGGCACGAGTGACTTGAGTAACAAAATCCTATTCGAGTCGCATCGCTAGAAGGAACACCACAGGACTACATTAGTTTAAATCACTTATAACCAGAGGTCGGAATTAGGTAGAGTTATTTATGTACTTTCATCGAAATGTTGATATTAATGTGGACCTTCCCGGGATTTAGATAGTTTGAATGCGGTAGAAAGAGACGCAATCTAGTACATTACGTTAATTGGGGAGTGCTTCGCATTTGCGCTATTGTATTCTTTTGTTCTCACAAGCTATGTTGTGCGAACTACAAATGTGGCAACATCGCGCGTATTGGTATTTTGCAACTTTGGACATCCGATGTCATTGATGTAAGTTTGGCAACGTCGTGCGTGCAGTAGTTTAAATTGTGTAAAAGTAAATAACTTTTTATTTAAAAAATCACGGGATTTTTTCTGCTCTTTAAAATTAATCTCTGGATTTGAGGCATATCCACTTTATTCTTTCGCTGTATGAAATCAGTGTAAGTACATGAATAACTCTACCTAATTCCGACCACTGCTTATTACACTATTCAATAAGGAAGTATTTAAAAAAAAACGAAAGCACTAAAAAAAAATCACCTCCACTAGATGGCGACTCTAGCAAAAGTTGATTTTTGCAGGAAACGAATGGATCAAAGACAGTTATTTCCATTACTTTTAACTTACATATTAAAAAACTGAAATTTGAAAAGTTCGAAACTTCGATATCAATACAAATACGAAAAAGTACAAATAGAATATGAGTTGTTTATTGAGTTTTGAAAACTAATTTACTTTTAAACATGAAAGAAAACCGGAAAGGTTGTCATCTAGAAATCAAGAACGTACCGTAGCGATATCTAGTTTGATTTCGGAAACTAATGGTTTTTTCTTTAAATACTTCCTCATTTCTATCGTCCCATACCCCCTATTATGGGTAGTGTAATAAATAATACAGGGCGTAAGGTAGAAGGAAGACCAGAGATGCAACATCTTATGTTATTTTTATTGAGGATGAGTGATGGCCCTGTTTTATCTCATGAGGTACTCGCGAGGTACCTCATTTGAGGTGAGGTAAAAAAAATGAAATAAACGCTAATAATGAATATGAAGCGAGGCGTAAGGCAAATGAGGGAGGCAGTCGGTAGCTACCGAGAGAAACATTTGTAATAAATGAATTATCAAATACTGAAAGGTATAATAATTACACATTATTGTAAAACAAGTTATTATAAAATTTTATGTTGCTGTTAAATGGAATATTTTCTTACGCACAATACAATTTGTGCTGCCATCTAGTGAAATATTTTTTTGTAATTTCTTTATTTTTTTTAAATACTTCTTCATTCTAAGACATGGCTAAAACGAGCTTATCGTTTCATTTATGTCATGTCATTGTCAAGGTACTGGGAAAAAAACAACTTTTGCATTAAAATCTGTGGAATTTCATCACATGTAGTAAATAAATAGATGAATTGTGAATATGTTTTAGTATTAAGAATAAATACGGAGCTACTTTAGGTACAAAAATCACCACATCATTATAGTTCTATTGTGCAGCTGATTCATGTTTACTTATTATCTAAACTTATTCATGAAGTACAAGCATAACACGTTGAAATAATAGTTAAAAGGTTTTCTAATCATGGAATTATTCCTATCAAAACCACGATGGGCAATGATTGGTGTGTGCTGCAATTGATATTGAATAGATTGCAGTAATCTTTCTTTAACAAAAACTGGTTTAATTATATGTAAGTGTTGTTATCATGACCATATTCTGGTTTCCAGATATGTATTCCTTTGAGGGAGACTTTAGAAGGAAGCCACAACAGAATCTATCGGGAGCAAGTGCACAACGCAATACTGACCGGGATGCCCTAATATTGCAGTCACAACAACAGAGGCAGAAACGTGAGGTAAAAGAAATATATATAAATTAAAAGCATTTATTCAATATCTAATGGGTATGTAAAATAAAACTTTAATAAATCTAATTATATAACATTTTTAGGAACGTAGAAAGCGTCTGAACAGTGCAATAAAAATTCAAGCTTATATAAGAAGCTATTTAACAAGGAAACACTGTAAACAAAGTGAGCGGGTGCAATTTGATACTCTTTTCCCAAAGGCCAATGATGATGATCGATTAGTCTTTTCTACTCTTATTACCAAAATATTGTTCTTCTATGATGCTAAGAAAGATGTTTCAAGATTGGTAAGTTTGTATAGTTGTCTAATCAGTTGAAAATTGATCTTGACTAGTGTGAATCAGTAAGTTTTAACTTTAGTGATTCTTTTTTAACAAAAGAATCACTAAAGTTGAACTTTAGTGCATTTTCAGTATGAAGTTAAAGTTGTGTGAAGTTAAGGAGGTTAAATTCACTATATAAAAGTATACAATATACTTTTTCATTAAAAAGTATTGTCACATGTTGTTTAATTTATTTACTCTAATAAAAGACATCAAATTCCCTCTACTTTTTGTTAAAATACTTACATTTTATTTCTTAACCCAAAATTGTTTATTAATTTCTTCATTTAATTGGACAACAAATAACATATAATAATTTTTATTTCAGATATCAATATCACAAATTCTTTTGAAACAATGGAAAAAAGTTTTCAAAAATGCAAATTCTTGTATTCAAATAAGAAGACTATTGGCTATGCATTTGCTGTTGCTCAAAGACAACATTGAGGTAATCATGTCAAAAGTCAATAAATCAAATATATCTATTTCATATATGGTCAGTTCCACAAACATCCAATAAGGTTTAATGACGCTTTAAGCTCTAATAAATGTCAAATTTATATGGGTAAACTAATGACAATTATAATGGATGTTTGTGCAACTGGCTAATTAAGTAACATTTTCAATTATTACAGCTAAATTTAGAGAAACTAATGTTTAAATTGTATTATAATAATAAATATGCATCAACCTGTCGGTTTCTGCTGTTGGTTTCTGCTGTTGGTGTATAGGCCTTTTTATAGGATATAATCACATGACACATAACTAATCTGACAACATGTATAGTTTATCCTTTGTCACATTATTACTACTCTTCAGCAAGAAGTATTGTACAAACTTTGTCATTTAATAAATCAACTAAGTAATAATTTAATTTATTATGCTATACACAGGTACCATTAGCAGTCCCACTTAGAATGTTTGAAGTATTTACTTCAGTAGCATCTGCAGAATCAACATTAAGTAAAGATGAGGCTCTAACAATCATTGGAAATACTTTTATATACCTGATTCGAAGAGGTAAAAGTCACAAATATTTAATTTTTATAATTTATTATTGTTGTGTGTATTTCTTTAATTCACTTATTTGAATTACAGGCTATTTCAAAGACTTGTGTCATCTTATGTGTCAAAGAACTCCACCATTATATGGACCATCACCAAATCCACCAACACCACTTTGTGGGGCTTTGCTGGATCTGATTCAGAGACCTTTGCATTTAATTTCAAAAGTTCATCTGCCAGATTATAAGTATGTAAATCTTTTTTTGATTTAATTTTCAATTGAAAATTTTGGCCAATAGGATTCAAGAATACTGTATGATATTTAAGTACAAAATCAATTGTGGATATTTGATTTTTTTTAGCTACCATATATACATATATACCTCATTTTAACTATATGGAATCTTCTTTATTTCAGTAATACTGTGATGACAGAGTTTGCATCTGCTTTTCTATGCAACCCTTATTGGGAGCCAGTAGAAATGTTTATTATACCGTCACTACGAGAGAACTCTGAAAAGAAATTCCCTTTTCTATCTCTACTACAATGTCTCGAAGACGATAGCAAATTCACTAGTAAATTGTTAATAAATGATTCATGGTTGCTTCATTCTGTTTTATCATTGGAACCACCGGAATTTGGTAAGTAAAAGATGGATCAACAAAAATTAAGTTTTAAAAAAGTAGTTGTGACAGAAAACTTACTTTCCTATTTGCATTTCAGTTAATGACATAAGAAATTTGAATAATACAAGACTGCCAAATAATCCTATTGTGTTAAATTATCTCAAATTAATAGCTAAGTTGACTGTGAATGTGTGCAATAAACAAATTACATATGAATATGAAGATTCACTGTACAGCCAAGAGACAGCAGCGGACAAGGATGATGATAGTGACAGTGAAACAGAACCAAACCCTACATCAGTTAGAGAGAAGTTACTATTGACAAAGTGTATAGAACTTTTGAATGAACCTGACCGCTGCATTATGGTAACCTGCTCACAGATAACAGAGAGTGATCTCAGTGACGAATTCTTAGATGCCATGTCAGATATATGTCACAATTTATTATTGAGTCATAGAATGGCTTTACATAAGTATAGGTACGACTTTAAAATCCATATTCAAGAATAAATTTTAGCGTAATATTAAGTTTGATATTTAAACACTTGCATCATAGAGTGATATGTTCTTTTCTCTTGTCATAAAACTATTTTTTTCATTAGTTAAGATTATAATATAATAATACTTGCATCATAGAGTGATATCTTCATATCTCTTGTCATAAAATTATTATTTTCATGAGTTAAGATTATAAAACAATAATAAGAATAATAATCATTTAATCCTCACCATAATCATCCTTTGAATTACATTGGAATCAACAAACTCCCTCTTACAAACAGTGTATCACATAGCCGACTATGGTGGACTGATACCAGCACTAGGGTAAACCCCGAATCGCAAGTAGTCAGTCCTACACAATACTCGTTACAATTCACTTAAAACAATTACTTATTTATTTATAACAAAACTGTCACAATAAGCTAAAGATTTAATACTGATAGCACATTGTAAATAATAAGGGCAGTAAGAGAATACAATAATTTATTAGGGGGTAGTAATAAAAGTTTTAATAATATGTGTTAGTGCGGTGTTTATTCTGTTATGGAGCAGGTGAATGGCGTAAGTAAATGTGTGAATGAGAGAATATCGACGTTGAAAATCAAACACGTAGTAACCCGCAAAACCAAAATGGATATTTAAAGTGGAAAATCTTTATATTTTTCCAAAATAACATATCTCATTTCCGTATAAACGTTGGTAATACTAAGGAATACCTTATTTATTACCATGGACGTTTATAGGAATTATTTGTCGAAAAAAATTAAAGCTTTTCTGCTCTGAAGGACTATTTTGGTTTTGCGGGTTACTACGTGTTTGCTTTCCAGCGTCGATATGTAGACACGTGCTTGCGTACTCTCACTAGAAACTTATTGGAGATTAACTACTTACTTTATTTTATTCCTTTAATTTAGTTTATTGATGAATAAAAAAAAACTATACGTTCTCAGTTTTTTCAATATCTAATGTTAGAAGTTTCTTTAGTAGTACACTTTTGGAAAACATTCAATTCATTTTATATATATGATCTTTTTTATTAATGAGTTTGTATAAGAAGAGACCCATAAAGTTTACTGTCTTGATTAATCGGAAATTCCATTCAGTCCATTTCTTTTCTCCATATTACATTATAAAAGTAAAATAGTTTTACTTTTCATATATATTTTTTAATATTACAGATTACTATACACATTAGCATTTAAACCTATATTTATACGCGGCCTCTGGCGTTGGCTGAGTAATATGAGTCACGAGTCTTCGTTCGGTGGATCTGCTACTCCTCTGCTGTCTGCGCTGTCACGAGGAATGGGCGCTGAGTATACAGTGATAGGAGTACATAGACTTCTGGCTCCGTTAGCCGCCTTCTGCGCCCTGTTCTCACTGTTGATCGGCACTTTACACGACACAGAGTTTTGTCGTGAGACTGACGACGATGATGTCAAAATGACATGTAATTGTTTTGGTTTATTATTAATACATTTCATTGACGCTTTATTTATTGTATCTAGATTGTCTCATAGTTCTACCTGTTTTTCCGCTTCGCCCACTTAAATTATAGAATATGTCACCCGGCTATCGCTCCAGTAGTTTTGGAGCTTATTCAATGTAAACAAACAAACAAACAAACAAACAATAAAATCTTTCTTCTTTATAATTCGTATATATAAAATAAGATGCAAGTTTTTGGAGGCGTATTTTGTATAGATAACTAAACTTATTTTACGATTTGATGAAGCCTGCCCAGTTATTATAATTGATTTTGAGTGATATTTCAAGCATGTAATAGATGACAAACATTTGAATCTTTTTTATAAGTTTCATTAAATATGGAGTATAAATGATATAAGAAATGCTTTAGCATTATTTCATGCATGCAATACTTTGTGTCTATAAACAGAGGAATATTTTACATTTTAAAATACACTTCTCGTTGTTTTAGTTACTCCAGTAAGTACAAGTACCAGTGGTGGTCCAAGTGGCGGCAGAGTTCATGCTTTCGAATTTTCCGAGTTGGGTGGTCTCTGTCGCACACTGCGTCAAGTGTGTCTCGGCCTCGTGGAACTCGCTTACCCGGAGACGAGGCCAGTGGTAGGAGGTTCTTACAAGGATGCCGTAGGAAATACTCAGATTGAACTTTCTGGGAAAAACCAAACTCCGGCTTGGTCACATTTGTTTAAGGTATGTAACATAAGGCCAGTCCGAATATTTAATTTCAGTTTAAATATATGTCTAATAAAAGGAAGTTGTTTTAATATGAAAATACATTTAAAAGTCAAATTTTTAAATATGATGACTGTCTGACAGCCAATATAGAAAATTATAATATGATTTTCAACACTAGTGAGGGCTTTTATAAAAAAAAGTTTTTTTTAAATGATATCCAGGTACGTACTGGGGCATATATGATCATGATATATATGTTTTCTTAATATAGATATGCATATTGTTGGCATATCCATATTAAGAAAACATATATATCACGATTACTAGTAGCGCATTTTACAGTTATTTTCCTAAGGAGTTTGACTATACTAGCATTTTTGTTACTTAGGATGTCCATTTTGTTCCTTGTTAAGGTTTGTACGCATTTATTGCGCGCGTTATATGTGCGTGATTCGCGTCTGCAATTCTGCGGCGCGGAGGAGTGGCCGGCGCCGGGCGCGGTGCCCGAGGGCGAGGCCGCGGTACTTATTGTGGCGGGTACACATCACAGACCGAACCCGAGGCAATTGAGACGCCCGCCCGCCCTGTCCACAGCTTTATCATCACAAGGTTTGGAACATTCTCATCATCATCATCATCCTCATGCCCTGTCCCCAGATGTAGGGTCAGCGCAGTGTCCTCTTTTTCCCCTCCTCTCTGTCAGCCGTCATCTCACCGCTCACTATACTCACTCTCATATCATGCTTCACAGAGTCTATCCATATTTTCTGTGGTCATCCTTTTGTTCTCCATCTGTTTTTTACATTCAATACATTCCTTCTCATAATACGTCCATACCAGGTCAAACGCTTTCCTTTCAGTTTTTCTAACATTGGTGCCACTTTCAAACTCCATTTTACATACTGATTCCTTACTTTATCTATTCTTGTCACTCCATACATCCATTTCAACCTTCTCTTATTCGCTACATGTAATTTTCTTTCATTTTGCTACATTACAATTTCTTTCGTTCAAGTTGGAGCATTCTATATATATTTTATTTTATTCTACTTATCTTAATCCTAATGGGGATAGCGAAAATATTAAAAGATTTGCTTGGGATATTTTTACGAAAAAATAAAAAAGGGGATGTAAAATAAAAACTTTTTCTAAATTTTAGAGAAAATGATTAATGTTTATTGCAGAAGAAGGACCGCCTTTAACAATCAAGGAGCTGAGGACAGTCACTATATTGCGAGAAATACCTTTCGTAGTGCCTTTTTCAACACGAGTGCTTATATTTCAAGGGCTGCTTATGAGGTGAGATTTTTTATTTACTCATTTGTTGTCTTAACTGATCAATATCGTAAATAAACACTGGACAGTGTAGGTGTTTTTATTAAAGTAGAAATTTAACTTAATAAAAAGAGCCATAAATGACGTAGTACGACTAGCCTTCGCGTATATGACATATATGAATATCCTTGTTTGTAAATTTATGCGAATATTTTGTTTGTTCTTTAAATAATGAGCTATATTAATATCACATACAGCTTTCTGACGTTACCGTTTTTAGAGCTCAATCACTACATAGGACATATATTAGATATAATGTAGAATGGCTAATTTAGTATAAATGCCGCAAATTGATAATGTGCTGGAACCTGGTCTAAATAATATCCGCGTAACGTCATTTAATGAATGTAGATAATACAAAAATATAATGTAGACAACACGAAATGCAAGAGATAAATTATAACAAAATTAAAGGACCATTTTTAAAACATCCCCAAAATAATTATGTAATGAGAGACATTAGATATACATATTATTAGTGAAATCAGGTTTACTTATTGTGGAAATCATAGTAGCAGTTGCTATTTTAGTCAACCATAACAAGTAACATCAAAATTTTACAAAAACGATCGAAAACAACAAAGCGTAACAGAAATTGTGTGCGATCTCAACACAACTCAACAATTGTACTCGTCAACCAATGTTTATTTTTAACATTACTGATCGTTAAACACCATTACGTCACTAAAATGGCAGTTATGCGCGTTAGCAATTTGCGAGGATTATACTACTCGTCATTAAAAAAACTTAATTTATTAGGGAGAAACTCGACCACTGGTATGAGATGACAAATTTCAATGAAGGCCCATCTATATACATAAGTGTGCGACGTACTCATCTATATGAAGACGCCTTTGATAAACTAAGGCCAGATAATGGTGAGTATATCATTCATAATGAATTAGTATTTATTTAACATATTCTAAAAAAATCTTTGTAAAGATTAGTGATGTAGTCGAAAATAATAAAAAAATATCAATGAGAAAGTATTAAAAAAATAAACTCCTAAGATGAATGTCACTATAGACAGCCATATTTATAACTAGCACTGATCGGAGTATATGGAGCTATTTAGGTTCATTGACTGCAACACATTGATGTTAATATGAATATTCCTCGAAAAAACAAATCCCGGGACTTTGGGCATATCCATATTATTTTAACATATGGAAAGTACATAAAATAGCTCTATCTAGTCCAATCTTTGATAATTAGGCATATCTCTAATTCTTGAACGAAAATGGAATCATTGAAACGGACCCTAGACAGCAATTGTCATTCCTTCAAAAATAATAAATTTCATATTCACATATCAAAGCAATACGAAAAGCTAAATATATTATTTTTTGATACTTTCTCATTGTAGATGGCACGGCGATAAAAGTTTATGTTATGAAGGAATCCAAATTGGCTTGGTTCTCTTAAATGGTTACTTTAATCATTCATCTTATATTACTATGCGATTAATTCGTAATATTTTGCTTAATCTGTGAACTGATCGTAAAGTATAGTCAACAGCACGTTAGGCTATATAAATCACTCAAATTTCTTTACTTGATTTTAAACTTTAGTGGGTAGAGCTTAAAATCGACTGGAGAACTATGACATATTGTGGTAACCTGTCCTGAAGTAGTGTGTACATAGGTATTTTCCAATTTACTATGATAAAATTGATATTGAGTTTTTTTTTTTTAGAGCCTGATATGAAATTGAAACTTCGGGTTCAGCTCATCAATCAGGCAGGCGCTGAGGAAGCAGGCGTTGATGGCGGAGGGTTGTTTAGAGAATTCCTATCAGAATTACTAAAGTGCGTATCCAATCGAAATCGAATATAAATCTGTATGATGAGTACGAATATTATTGAATGCAAATCGAATTTGTTTAGTACAAATGTAATTTTTTTTAATTAAAATTACATAGCACGACCCAGTCTCTAAAGAATTCCGTTATCCATTCAATTATGTGAATTCGTTTTGGACTCCATTGTTTTTGATGCTCTAGGAACTTGAATAGAAGTCTGTAGTAGGGTTGCCAACTGTCCTTTTCTCCCAGTATATCCTGGTTTTTATCGATTTTTGTGATATAAGCAGCATCCTAGATTTATAAAACGGCTTGATAAAGTCAATTATTATCACTTTTAATTTTATTTAACTATTGTATTACGGCGGCTGGTTTTGAAATTGATTTGTCCTCTTCGATCAACAATACAACTAGATAACGCGTCACATACTAAAACAATACTTAAATACGGCACTTTAAGATGGTGCCGTATTTGATAAGAACACATACTGACAAATTTAAAACAGCTGGGGTTGGCAACCCTAGCTAACATTGCAGAGAGTGATTTTTAAATTACTTTATTATGGAAAATATTTTCCACAATGTAAAACTATCATTGTCTAAGCTTCTATAAGGCCCCGTACAGTCGACAGTCACGACATAACACACATAACAGGGTTGGTCCGGTAAGATGAAATGAAACGTGAACAAACGTGCAAATTAAGGCCTTTTAAAGTTGCTCTAATGCCATTTTTTTACACATTTGTCATGGTCTCATAGTATTCACATTTATTTAGTCTATTTCAAATTGTCTTATTTAGAGTGCGCGTATAATAATAATAAAATAGATGAACCGTAACACTCCTGACGGTCGTGTCCCAAGCTTGTATATGGCGACTTGGGCGTAGCAATTCTTTTCCTTCGCATATACTCTTCACAGTGCCAGTTTGCTGGACAAGGATGAGCAAATACAGTTTTTCGCCTGACTATCATCTGTACGCGGCCTTAGTTTACTAAGGTTTGTTAGGGAAACCTATTTATAATGAAATTAAAAATCTATACATATTCTTCTTTATAAACATTGGTGTACTTAAGTAATATTGGGTAATTCCCGTTGTTTCATATTTAACTTACATTCCGGTTTGGTTTCAGGTCAGCATTTGATCCTAATAGAGGACTGTTTAGATTAACTAGGGACAACATGCTGTATCCAAATCCAGGAGTGCATTTATTATATGATGACTTCCCAATGCACTACTACTTTGTTGGAAGGATGTTAGGAAAGGTATTTTGTACTTTATTATGCATGACTTAACAAGGATAACATAGCGTATTACGTCACGAACGGTAACACGGTCGGTCTGTGCTGGAGTAGTCGTTACAGTAAAAATCGTAAACTCCGTATTTCTCTGTGGAAACCGCTTCAGTGTGTGCTATAGCGGCCGATGCATTCGTAATAGTGTTTGTGTCGCTGTTTGTGTTGTGACTGTGTGCTATCGATGTTAATATAGCAGCTATCTTAGGTCTCGTTTTGTCTGTGTGTGGGTAATCTGACATTGATACTACGAGTGACTAGTGTCACCATCTATCACCAATACAGCGTACTACTTGTATGACAAATACATCGATAAAACGCGCTACGAGTGGTGGTGCCATCTTGCGGTTCAGACGGCTGCTGCCATCTATCGTTATCGAGGTGAACTTTTTAGGACGTTCGATTTGCCTATAAAGCGTATCGTATCGGCGTTCATCTATTAAGCATGGCAAAGTGTACGGCTTGCGGTAAATTTTTATCGCCGTCAGGTGCCACTAGTTGCACTACATGTACGGGTATATTTCATAAAGCTTGTGTAGCGATACCCGATACTGTTACTGTTGCTAAGGGCTGGGTATGCCCGGAATGCACGAACAAGAGAGTCAGGAAGGGAGACAATAGCAACACGCCCGTAAAGAATATTTGTGAAGCCGCTGACGGTGCCAAGGTGCCACTCGCTACGCATGCCGCACCCATTCCATCCGATGCAGAGTCTGAAATAGGTATGATGCGACTCGAGATTAAGGCATGCATGACTGAACTCCGGGAATACATGAAGGAGTTTCGGTTGTCTATGCAGAATATGGACGAGCGGATGGGGGCCTTCGATCATAGACTGAGCGAGGTCGAACGTAGGCAGGCTCAGGCGCCGCCGGCTGCGGATGAACTTGTGGAGTTGCGACGGACAGTGGAAAGTCTCAAGGTGGAGCTGAACGGTCGAGATCAGGACGCGCTGTTGTCTGATCTAGATATAGGACACATTCCAGAAGAGAAAGGCGTCAGTCCTGTCCATACCGTGACCGTTTTAGCTACTAAGCTGGGTGTTTCGCTGGAGGCTCGAGATGTCGTTTTCGCGGAGCGTGTCGGTGCGGTCGAGGCGCGTGCGGCGGGCGGCGGCGGCGCGGCGGCGCGGCCGCGGCGGCTGGTCGTGCGGCTGGCGCGCCGCGACCTGCGCGACGAGCTGCTGCGCGCTGCGCGTGTGCGCCGGAACGTCACAACGACGGACATCGGCTTGGAGGGTGTTCCGCGGCGCATCTATATCAATGAGCGGTTGACGGGTTACAACCGTCGTCTGTTTCATCGAGTCCGCGAAGAGTGTCGAAAACGTCAATGGCGATACACGTGGACCAAGAGGGGGCGGATCTTCGCTCGACAGGACGACGGCAAGCGTGTGCACAGCTTTCGGACGGACACCGATGTAGACTGTGTTTTTGGCATCGATGCCGTTTTACGCGATGAGTGATCACTTGAGCTCTGTAAGATATAATAAGTGTTGTTTTATGTTGATGAAGGGACTGGGTAACGAAAAGACGGGCTTATATGAAAGAAATATATTGATAAGACATAGACTATTACAATATTTACATCAAAAACTATTCTACGAAATACATAATAGCGATCGCAAATTGGATAGGCACTCTCATTTTTTGGTATTACACTTTATAATTTCTAGTCTTATGATCTATTATATACATATACATATACATACATTATATACATATTATATACATATTATATACTATATATTATATACATACAATGTTATCACTGACAAATGATTAAGGGAAGAGTAAAAATTGGACTATATAATGCGGGTTCCCTCGGAACTAATCACGACAACTTTGTGGCCGCAGTGACGCGGCATAACATAGATGTACTGGCAATAAATGAGACATGGCTAAAAGAGAACGAGGAGGGCCGTGCGCCTGCGCTCCCGGGATACCGATTGCGGCATATCCCGCGCCCTCGAAATTTGCGTACACGTGGGGGAGGTGTAGGCTTCTATATCAAGCGAGGCGTTAATTTGCGAGTATGGCCTCATCCGGTGGACCCTTTACACAGAATAGTTGAACAGATGTGGCTCGCCTTGACCCTTAACGGAAGGAAGTTAATTATAGGTACTGCATACCGGCCACCCTGGGTGAGCATTGATTTGTTTTTTGACGCGATATCAGACACTATCAGTTCGATTCCCAACTGTGACAATCTGGTGTTGCTGGGTGATTTCAATATCAACTTATTACAAAGTCATAGCACCGAAACAATGAAATTCAATAACTTTTTAACATGTTTCCACTTAACACAGCTGATTTCTGGCCCAACACACTTCACTGCAAATAGCCAGACATTAATTGATGTTGTGTGTACAGATTCCAATATTAAAAACATAATCTCTGACCATGTGGGGTTGCTGTTTGGTCATTGCATGTTGGTTTGCGAACTTAACATCAAGCGAGAAAAAAATCCTCCACGAATCATAAAATATAGACCAATGAATAACATCAGTATGGATGTGATTGGTGAACAATTAAATAATATGAAGGGAATGTGGGATCATATTAGGTATCTGAACAGTGTTGATGAAATGGTTAATATGTTTAGTGCATATATGCTTACTATTTTTGATCACTTTGCGCCAGAGAAATCTATTGTCGTCAGAGAATGCTGTCCTCCTTGGATAACAGACACGGTCAAACTAATGATGAAGCTCCGGGATGAAGCCTTAGTCAACTATCACAAAAAAAGACCAAACTGTTCAATTGATTACTACAAATCTCTGAAATCATTAGTTAATCAAGCATTATTTAACGAAAAAACAGCCTATTTTAAATATAACATAAATAGTAAAATAAATGACCCAAAACTATTATGGAAAAATCTCAAGAACACTATTTTACCCCAGAAAAATTGTAATTTACCAGCATGTTTCAATAATCCAACTGCTATAAATAATCATTTTATGAAAGTTTTGGGTCCATCAGAAGTGACTATTTCATTAATGACTTTTTATGAGTATAATAGATTCACTGACTCTATATTTCATTTAGAACCCATCAGTTTGGATCAAACCATAAAAATAATTAATAGCTTAAAGTCCAATGCACTGGGAAGTGATTCCATAAGCTTGGATATGATTATGAAGACCCTACCACATACACTGGATGTAATCAGAGATATTATAAACAAGTCTATCACTACCTGTACATATCCAGATATGTGGAAACAGGCAATAGTACTTCCTTTACCTAAAACCACTAACCCGGTAGATGTTAAGGACCTGAGGCCAATCAGTATACTGCCATGCTTGTCTAAGATCTTAGAGAAGGCAGTATGTATGCAACTGGTTGAGTACTTAGAGAAAAATAATATTTTACCTCAGGTACAGTCAGGATTCAGGAAAGGTCATGGCACAACCACTGCCCTACTTGATGTTATTGATAATATACTGCATGCACAGGATAAAGGCATGTGTACGTTGCTTGTTTTACTCGATTTCTCCAGGGCTTTTGATTCAATAAATATAAACCTCCTTTTATCCAAATTAAGATATTATGGTTTTGGCCATGACGCAGTGAAGTGGTTTGACAGCTACCTTAGTAATCGCTCCCAATATGTGAAATTGAACGGAGACGGTTCTTCTATGGAATCTGAAAAAGTGTCCATATGTAGGGGTGTGCCACAAGGTTCGGTCTTAGGGCCGATCCTCTATGTTTTATACTCGGCTGATATAACATCACAAATTAAAAACTCCAAATGTCATATGTATGCTGATGATACTCAAATATATATATCCTCTAAACCAGAACACATTAACAATGCAATAGGGAAACTTAATGACGATTTAGAAAATGTTCACAAATGGTCTAATGAAAATTGTTTATTATTAAACCCCACTAAAACAAAGTACATGATCTTTGGTACCAAATGTCAGATGTCCAAACTAAGTATCAACACATCGGTCAAGTTAAATAACAATCCAATTGAAAGAGTATATGAAGCACGTAATCTGGGTTTGATTATGGATTGTAATCTGCGGTTTGAAAAGCATATTAATAGTTGCATACAAAATTGTTTTTACAAACTAAAGGTGTTATATAGGGTTAGGCGGTTTCTGTGCGAGAGATTGCGGGTGCAGTTAGTGGAGTCGCTTGTTTTATCGAAACTGAATTATATGGATACAGTGTATGGTCCACGTTTACTTAATAGAACAAAAAAATTAATACAGCGTATTCAAAATGCATGTGCTAGATTCTGCTTCTACATTCCGTTGAGGGCCCATGTGACGCCATTTTTAAATGCGCACTCTATACTCAAGATGCGACATCGTCGAAAACTTCATTTAGCATGTTTATTGTTTGACATAATAAAGAATGAGGCACCTGCTTATCTGTTTAACAAGTTATCTTTTAAGTCTAGTTGCAAGGCATATGGAGTCCGAAGAGTCTGTGCGCAGTTGTCCACCGAACGTCATGCTTCTGCTGCCTTTCGAGGTAGCTTCCGCTATGCGGCCACAAAGTGTTGGAATAATATACCGCCACCTCTGAGAAACCTGCAAAGTGTTAAGACTTTTAGGCGCAAGCTAACATATTACATAAACCAACATCAAAAAACACAGGAAACTCAAGCTCACGAAACTAGTGTATTTTAAAGATATGCGTACCTTAAATTTTCGTCTCTTTATGTGAATATGGCTTTTTGAACATTTTGCTCTGCTCCTGTTTCTCCGCATTAAGTTTGCAATCCATTTGTCAGAGTTAATAATGTTTTGTGTTTTCGGTAATGAGTTGTGATTAGACCTCTGAAGCGATCTTATAACTCGCTTTTATAACGCGTTTATAATTTGTCACACGTAAAGTATTGTTGTTGTAGAAAAGTTTTTGTATCAATCACAAGTGTCTCCTTCTTTTGATAGTGGCTTGTCTGCTCCGCACAGTTCTACTAATGTCAGGTGATTTGATTGTTTGAAGTTGAAGTTTCATATTTATAACTAGGATTAATAGAATGTTCAATAAAATCACAAAGTACTTTGATTAAAATGTTAAAGCGTCAATGCCATAGACCACAGACTGCCACAGATTAAGGTTTAGTTACTACCATAGATACTAATGTGTTCATCTATGGATTAGGCGTAGAGATAGCTCAAAGAGAACAGTAATAATACGGAAAAATAGCTTTTACCATACAGCCGGACTTTCGATACGGCTACATATTTGTATTTTTATGTCACTGTATTTTTGTTATGTGTTACTGTTTGTGTTTTTTCACCGGATCGGTTTCAGCGGAAGATCAGCGCTGATCACAAGACCAGCATATGCTGAGCTGGAACCGTTTTGGGACAGAGATTTAGTCGTGTCCATGTGATTGTATTGCTTATGTTTTAGTTTTGATGATGTCATAATACGCTACGTTATCCTTGTTAAGTCTCGGCTTTTAATACATATACGTAATTATAGAAATCATATTACCTTAATTGTGATATATCGACGCTGGAAAGCAAACACGTAGTAACCCGCAAAACCAAAATTGTTATTCAGAGCAGAAAAACTTTGATTTTTTTCGATAAATAATTCCTATAAACGTCCATGGTAACATATAAGCTGTTTCTTAATCAATTTATATAGAAATAAGATATATTTTTTTTTGAAAAATCTAAAGATTTTCCATTCTAAATATCCATTTTGGTTTTGCAGGTTACTACGTGTTTGCTTTCCAGCGTCGATATATACCTATAAAAAAAGTCTTGTTAGTTACATCATTTATAACTCAAAAAATGCTGAACCGTTTTTTATTATACTTGTTTATTTTAAATCATTGCTAAATTCAAAATTTGTTCATTCATTGACTGTTAGGAGGAATAAAGAAGTTTATATATTTTTACATTCAAATTCCTTGGGTGGAACAAAGTTTGGCCCGGGCCAATTATAAGTATTTTCTGATATGCGGTAACTAGGGATGTTTTTATGTCGATAACGAAACTAATTTGACTTTTCGTCGTTTTGACGCATTTGTGTTTTGCAGCATGTACCGTAACTCGTTAAAAAGGGATCTATCAATTTAGCATAGTTCTTTTTTATTTGAAGGAATTTGATACTTTATTAGTATTTTATAATTAACGTTAAATACTTATTGACTATCTATCATCGTACAGCTCAGCATATGAAATATTACACACCAATTATTTTTATTATGACGTCAAAGTTCGCAAAGAAAGGTCTTTGAAAGATTCATCTCATACGGGAATGAAACAAGTTTGAAATTTTATTTAAAAATCTGTTAATTTTTAAGTAACAATCACGTGAGTGAAACTAAGAATATTGGACTTGAGGTAGATAGTAAAATAGAAAATGCAAGTAGTTGAGATTCTATTGAGCCGAGTGGTTCGCATATTGGTTTCAAGGTGTCGCCATATCTGAACCCGGGTTTGATTCCCGTGGTGCTGTCTAATTTTAATATCTATCACAATCACTTTGAATATGACATTTGAAAGATATTCACGAAATTCACGCTACAACTATTTCACATGTGGTAGCACCTGCGATAAGATATAGGTTTTCTTGATAAGATATTGAATGAACGCTAACGTTCATTCAACGTTAAATGGAATTGTCTAAGCAAAGTGATGACTGGGAGAGAATGCCTAAGGCATTAAGTCCGTCAATGTATTTTTTTTGTGCATGAAGAATTAAATAAATAGTTACAAATATTTTTGATAGCTATTGGGAAATGTCAAACGAAATTAATTATCTATGACATTTATATCATTCAAATCATCATTCGTTCCAAAAGCGATTGAGACTTTAAAATTAGACAGTGTGGCCTAATACTACACTGGTCGGGTCAGTGTAGAAAAATTCGTATATTATCTCTGGTCTGAGTGTTTAGTACCTTCGTTGTCTCAGATACTCAATTAAACAGGAGCTTATCTTCTTGGAATCTGAGCAACGTATGTGAAGTTGTGCAATATTAATTTATTTGATGTTTATTTATCTCGGTGAGTCGTTAAGGCGATATACGAGAACTTGCTAGTGGAGGTGCCACTGGCGGAGTTCTTCCTGGGCAAGTTGTGTTCGTCCCGCGAGCCGGACGTGCACGCGCTCGCGTCCCTTGATCCGGCTCTGTACCGCGGGCTGCTGATGCTGCGCGCGCACGGCCGCCACGAGGTCGCCGACCTGGGGCTGGACTTCACCATACTCAGCGATGAGCTCGGCGAGCGTACGGTCAGTAGCCGTGTAACATTGATCGTACCACCGTTTGTTCAGTTTTTTTTTTACGCAGGAGTAATCCACCTTATGGACGTTGTTGACGACGATAGCATTACAATCGGCCCGCTCCTTTTAAATTTATGTTTAGTAATGCGTTAAGTAATAAGATATTTTGTTATTGTGTATGTGCCACACACAGTGTTCCTTTGTTTAATAAATGTTTGTATTCGTGCAAAAAATCAATGTCGGACTGGCGTGTTACTCTAATCCTATTGAGTTCGACCAATAGGAAGAGGGCGCTCACGCACATCTTGGTGGTCACTGGTCATCTTGTGAGCCAGTCTCAGTTTCGCAGCGAAAGAGTGAGCAACCAGCGCGATCCGCTAAGAATACTTACGACGCGAACACGATTTGCACCATCAGCGGAACATTTGTGTTACCAAAAACAGATGTTTTCATTTCAATCACCTATCCTCTAGAACCACAGTTCGCCTAGTCTACAGACGTATACAGGGCTCTCCAGCCGCACGGACAGGTCAAATTGCGACTGGCCTACCAGGGTGTGTCCGCACGGCGGAGTCAGTCCTAGGTTTCCGCGTGCAAACTTTTTGTCTTTGATCATCGACATCGTTTATCTTCATTATTCACTTTTCGTAATTTGAAATTTTGAGTAATCCAATGGATGACTCTTTATTAATGTCAGTTCGTGAAAAATTCCATCTGGTGAGAACATTATAAAAATTTATTTAAATAAAAAAAAATAATGAAAATAAATGATGTTGAAGATCATAGACAAAAAGTTTGCATGCTGAAACCTAGGACTAAATAAACGGTGGCACGACGCACCGTTACACCCGTTCACGTATACAGAGTGTTCGGTGCATAGATCTATAATTTTTTTCTAGAGGAAGTGAAAACGTAGCTAATGACCCGTCATTAGCTACGTTTTCACCTTACTTTGAGAATCAAACAAACACTTCTTGTCTCAAATTTCATGATTTTACTATATGGTTATTTTGTTCTTTTTTTATAATGAAATTACCCAAAATGATACATTTCAATAGAAATAACTTTTTTGTTTGTAAAAAAATAACATAAGTATAATAATTATAATATTTTTCAATGTCTTTTTATTATACTGTTTATTTTTTTGTATCGTTTGTGTGAATCTATTATTTAAAATAAAATAAAAATTACCTATTTTAATTTTAGTAGATATTAACTGAAATACGATTTTTAAAAAGCAAATTTTAATTTCTCCAACGCAGAGCGGAATTAATTAGGAAATTTTACAAACTTTACGACATGTTTAGAATATTGCAGTAAATAATAAAACTATTTAATTTCTCAGACAGAGGAGTTGAAACCGGGAGGCGCAAACATTCCAGTCACAGCCGAAAATAGGATAGAATATATACATCTAGTCGCTGATTATAAGTTGAACAGGTAAAATATTAAGTAAGACATAATTAATAGTTCATTCATTCATATATAAGAGGTTATAAAATTAGAATAAGACCTTTCAATGTTTTCGAATTTTATGTACATACTATTGTATTAACTATAGATGATTATGTTAAAAAATAAGTTTTCGTTCGTGGACAAACAGAGTCGGCCCTCAGGTGGAGTGTTAATTCGAAGAAATACTACATCTAGAATGCTATTAATAAACAAGGTTTAGCGTCACCGTAACGTTACGCTAAAATTGCAATTTTAGTATTAGTCCAAATTCGTATTATACACCTTTTAAGAGTAAATATGACTCCAGTAAGAACCTCGTACTAGGTTAACCTTGGCTAAGTCTCCGTTTAATAATATGAATTTTTACTAATACTAAGAGCGGCCTCAGCGAAAATTTAGTCCAACGCTTATCCCTGTTTATTAATAACTTGATTATTAAATACCAAAAATGCACGCTTGAAGAAGCTGATAACGTTAGATTCTTAGGCATAACTTTTGACAAGAAACTAGATTGGAAACAACATGCAGAAATCGTTTGTAATAAGATAAATAGCTTCTCATTTGCATTATTTAAATTATCGAGAGTAGCGACAAGAAGTACGGCTCTCACAGCATACTTCGCTTATGTGGAGTAAATTTTACGTTATGCAATTATTATTTGGGGCAATGGTACAGAAATGCAAAGGGTATTTATTGCCCAGAAAAAATGCATAAGATCCATATGTGGTATCGCTCCCGACGTCTCATGTAGGCAATGGTTTAAATTTCTTGGTATTCTACCTCTTCCTTGCTTATATATATTTGAAGCAGCGAAATTTGCCAAACGATACCCTGATTATTACAAAATAGCTCATTAAGTGTATGCCAGGAACACTAGAAATAAAAATAGGCTAGTTCTTGACATAGTCCCAAAAAGCGCGCGATTTAAAAATAACTGCTACTGTATGTGTCAAACAATATTTAATAAGATTCCGGAATCTATAAAGAATACACCTCTTACTAGATTTAAGAGAGAGTTATATAACTGGCTTGCTGAGCGTTCCTTTTATTCGTTGCATGAGTTCTTAGACTATAGAAACCTAACGTTACCCTGGGGTGGATTAATCAGTGCTTATAGTATCTTCTTTTACTACATTTGCATGCTATTGTTAATGGCTGAATAGGTGATAATTATATAGGTGATACTTTTACATCACTTTTGTATACCCTATTCAAACGCAAATAAATTATTATTATATGTGTCTTTATACCTTGTAGGCAAATAAGGGCGCAGTGTAACGCTTTCAAGCGTGGTCTTACATCTGTGGTGAACGGTGAATGGCTGCGTATGTTCTCCTGTCGTGAATTACAGCTGCTCATATCTGGTGCTGAAGTGCCCATAGACCTGGACGATCTAATGGCACACACTCAGTACGCGGGTGAGAAATAATACCATGTTATTTACATATTTTGCTTTGTCAAAAACTTTGTAGAATAAGAGACATGTTATTATGTATCTTTAATTATAGGGAATGTATCGTATATAATTATACTAAATTGTACCCATTCTGACCGCAGATGGTGAACTAATTATATATTTTTAAAATTGATCGTCGTAGTCTTTGTCTCCCAGACATATTATTATTGATATTTCCACTGTTAGGCACAGTTTCTGTATGTATATAGGGAGAACGGTACACCACGACTAACGACTGCAAAACAGCTATTACAAACGGCTCAGCGTGCTTTTTAAAGCAAAGGAACTTTCAGCGAACAAATTACTGGTCACCCATCCGATGAATGACCTTTGCGATGGTTGCTTAACTTCGGTTATCAAATGCCGAACGCGGTAACCGCCATCGAGTTTATCAAATATTTATGATACCTTTTTATGTGTAGGAGGTTTCTCAGCGACGCATCCGACAGTGCAATGTTTCTGGAAGGTAGTGAAGAACTTTACAGACGATCAGAGACGGCAACTTTTAAAGTTCGTCACCAGTTGCTCAAGACCACCGTTATTAGGATTTAAGGTAAGCAAATAGTTTAGTATGAATAGTTACTGACTAACGACTATAGACTTATGTGGCTCTCTGTACCTGCACGAAAGGTTAAATTTCGAAGCGCGGCAGATGTCGACCAATCAGAATGGTTCAAGTATCGTGCTATCGGGCGATAACTGTTGAGTACGAGTGAGACGGGCACCTGAAGCATTGGATTTTATACCTTATAGTTATTGAAATAAGATTAATCATATACTTTAATGCTACGTTTGGTAACAAAATAAACAAAAATTAACCTACAGCCAGTTGCATAAACGTCCATTAAAATTGACAATAGTTTAAAGCTACTTTACCCATACATAGACATTCATTCATTAAAGCTTAAGGGCGTCATTAAACCTGAAAGGCCGTTTATGCAACTGACCGCTAGTGTCATATTGCTCGGATCTTGTAGAGGCGGGTTTTTCAAGTGTAGGCGGGAAAACTTAATTTGGGAAACTTGTTTATGGCATGGCTGTATGTTCTAAGTCTATCGCTGAGTATCTGAAGAAATTAAAGAAAATTAAATTCTATTTTTAATGATTGTGCACTTGGGGTTTTTAATTGTTCTTGTTAGTTATTATTATTTTTTAAACATTGGCCAAAATAATAATGAATTTGAGACATTAGAAACATTTATTTATCTAATAAATTAAATAAAGTTTTCTTATCGTAGAAATCATAAAAGCAGTTGCTATTTTTTATTCAGTCATAAGAAGTATAACAAAATCTGTCAATAACAATCGAAAACAACAATAATAGCGGTCACAACACCACGCAACTCAATACGCGTACTCACCGGCCACTTGTTTGCTAACGGTACAATAGAGATGATGCTTGAGTAAAAAAAAAGAAATTGTATTTAGTCTGTCACTCGGATAACAGAAAAATATTAAATACGTATTTTTTGTTGCTTCAATGTTAAACAAGATATGGCTTAGATAATAGGCATTGAAGTTGAGGAGTGGGGGCTCGCTACGTCACAACTATGTGGAAAATGTACAAAGGCGTTACGTCTTAAGACATTTCAACTGAATGTAACGCCGTAATTTATTGATTATTCGAAAAAATACGTGCTTAATATTCTTAAATAATCCCGTCGGACAGACAAACATAAATTAGTCATCATCCCCATTGATTACTTCACCAAAATGGCGGCCAGGCATTAGCAATTTGCTGGTATTATCTATGGTTAACTTTGTACAATAGGAGTTGCAACCGCCGCTGTGTATCCAATCAGCGGGCGCGGCAGATCGGCTACCGTCCGCTTCCACTTGCATGAACCTGCTGAAGCTGCCGGAGTACACGCGCGAAGATCTGATGGCAGAGAAACTGCTTTACGCTATACAGGCCGGCGCCGGCTTCGAGCTCAGCTAAACACGGTATTGTTCATACATTGTTTTACATTATATTAAACACGCTGTTTGCCCTCTTAAATATAAATAGCATATGTTTTTATTTAATACAACCGCGTATTATGTAGCTTCCTGTCAAAATTCCTTTAATTTTTTTTTAAAACAATCGAGTAGTTGCGGAACCTATTCGATGCGAACAAACAAATAATCAAGTACTTCCTGTTTATAATGTCAGTATAGATAACACATAACATTGGCCTACCCTACAAGTATCCAGCGGATTTTTTTTATGATTTTTGACGTTAATTTGGAACGAGTTAGCAAATTATTATTTTTAATTTCAATTATAACAAAAGTGTATTTTCTGTTTGCAGGTAACAGATGAACAAAATATCCGCTTTAAATAATTATTTACACCGCAAGAGAGAATTATGAACTATTTTTGAACAGTTATATCGTCATTATGATGATTAAATTGAAATCTCATTGTGATAATAATAAATTAATAATAAAAAATGTTGTATAATTATATGTTACCTTGTGACGAATTTACGTGTAAACTCTTTTATTTCTAAATTTTCTACTTACCAACTATGTATTTATTTTCATATCTTATACTCTTTGTAGTTTCTTAGATTATGGCAACTGCCATAATGGACTGTCTTTTTTATTTTATAGATAAGGTGATAAAATGTAAATAATTAGAAAAAATATATGGTTTAATGAATATTTATATAAATGACACAAGAAAAATGTTGAATCGTGAAGCGTATACAATATTATGTGATGAAATTTTGTAAAAAACAAACTAAGTGAGTATGCGTCGTGTGGTATATTATTACTCGTGTAGTAGCATCGCATGTTGGTCAACATGTGTCAAATGTGCGATTTTATATTTTAGTACCTAATAATAAAGTTGTTCAATCCTGTATTAAGCTTGTTTTACTTTTTATTAGTTACTCTCAGTAAGATCTCAATTTATTTTTATGAAAATTGGCTTTGAACTTGTCGTTTGGTAGTAAAAGAGCGGCTGAATTACAACGTAAGTGTTTTGTGATAGTTTTACATGTTTTCATTTTTTAGGTCAAATGCCAATACGTAGGTACTACAATAGTACAATTTAGAGTGTATGATTGCATGGAGCTCGATGGCACAGTGGTTAGCGCTTTCGGTCTGCGATATGGTTGTTAAGCAACTCTGCAAGGGCTTGTCATAGGATGGGTGACCAACTGGGGACTTACCTGCTGTGCTTGCTCGACGACTGGTGCGGCGCCGGGACCTCGGTAGGGCCGTAGCCGCGGCGCGACGAGAGGGGATGCGACCCGTCGACCGGCTGGACGCTCCCTGTCTGCCCCCCGGGGCTGATACAGGGAGTGATGAGGCTGGTCTTCTGCGGCGCATCGACCTACGGGGGAGGGGATCCACGATAAGGGCTATGCCTGTGTGGATCCTCTCAACACGATGGGTAGGGGACCGTAGATTGCACAGTTGCGCATCTCTGGTCTCTAGACAGGGCCAGCTGGCCGGTTCGCGCACCGGTCCGCATTGTACGCTCCTGCCCCGTCGTGGGGGTGCGTCTCGAATGTCTCTGAGGCGTACCCCCAACCCGAGTGGGACCTGCCCTTTTCAGGGCGGGCCGAAATGGGGGCGAACCGCGCGATGTATGGCCTCCGGGCCGATCCCGCGCATCGCCTACCATGAGAGGGACATCGCTGAGTTTTAGTGGGTAAACTTCTGTTTCTTGTCTAGCCCCTTCGGGGGTGGGGCCACAGGAGGAGTCCCACATCACCCGTGGAGCCAGCGCAGGGTGAAGCGGGTATGCGTAACGCATTTCACAGCGTCAAAAAAAAAAGGATGGGTGACCAAAAATTACTATCTTGAACTCCTCGGAGCTTCGGAAAACACGTCAAGTCGTTGGTGCCGGCTACATATGCAGGCTTTAACACCAACCAAACCGCACTGAGGACCGCGTGGTGGGATGTTGTCTATTCTCCATATTCGATTCGATTCATCTGTGTCACAGCAAGGGTGACATTAATAGTCTCGTATTTATGAAAATGATTGTATTGATTAAGTTTGAGAAGGGTAATATAAAGCACTTTAATTGATCGACGAATGAACGGATGATTCTTTTATGATATTTTGTATTATTGTTACGGAAAAACAGAATTGAGTGACATAAAACAAAATTCAAGTTTCTTGCTGGGTCTTCTCCGTAGGAGCTCTTCTGTCGTATAGTAAAGAACCGTTCTCTTCTCAATATAGACTTTATAGTGTAATAAATAAAGTTAGACTGGTTTTTTTTTTAAAAGTCAAACAAAATGTTTATTTCATGTCTAAACTATTAGCAGCAAGCAAGCCTTTTTTGTAAAAATCACTGGTTGGTTGAGTTGTTGAAAGAACGTAACCTCATCTCATGTGAGTCAGAATACTAAGTATTATTCAGGGATTCAAACGTTCACGGTGATTGAATAGGCGATGTGGATTCAATTAAAGATTTATAACCACCATCATCGGACGTTCCGTTCCACAGAGTCAACATAGGTACAATCGCGAGCTTTTGTGTATATTCGATTTAAAACTTGATTAAAAAAAAACTATTTTTGGAGATTTTGTTCCAATTATGAAGCTAAAAGGTGTTTGTTTTTACACGATATTACATTCCGATAGATTTAATACTTAGTGTTAAGGCATTTTTTGAAAAATTTCAGCATAGTGATTGATTGATTCAGAATAGTAGCACGAAAAATATCTAAATTGATAAGTAGTGTTTTATTGGTACACCCGGCTACCACAATATGTCAAATAACCTCAATTGATTTTAAACTCTGCCCTCCAAAGCATTGAGGTTTAAGGTTTTTAAATAGTATCTTCTTGGTCTGTGTTTTTAAATCAAGTTGACTTTGATAGTTTTGTATAGCCTAACGTGCTGTTGCCTAAGTATTCGGTCTTTTATTTCAATGTTTTATTTTGGAATAGAACAGCCGAAAGATGATAGTGTTCCATCCTTATTATACCACGTCAACCAAAGGTTTCAAAATTAGCCAAACACTTTTCTATGCGCATGTATTATCCTGGTCGCTAACGAGCCTTTATAGCTCGCTCATTTAGCTCTTTCTAAACACGTACACAATGTTTAATAAATTACACATCTAATAAGTAACCGTGAACTAAGGTTGGGGCTCATCAATAACGAGCATTAATATTGGCTTAGGTGCATTCATCGGCCCTCAATATGGCCGCCACTCGCCGCCATTACCGTTTTGACAGTTGCAATCAATCTCGCCTGATGAATGAGTTTCGCAAGCGTGCGTTCGTGTGCGGTAGCCAACATAAAGAGTGCTTAATCCCAACCTCAGGAATCCTATCTCTGATGAAAGAAGAACATTGAAAAATGGTAACTAGTTATTTATGAGTGGCCATTAAGAGGGCTGATCGTGATCCGCTTTATTAATGAAATAAAGGAAATGTTTTCTAACCGATTCGTTATGTCCGCTTTTGTTGGGTGAAATTTAGTAAATGGATGTTCTTTCACTGATCGGCGATTTCACTTTTAATATAAATACTGTGTATGTAATATTATTAAGGTACCTAAAATGGTACAATGATGCTTTTCATCCGGTTTTCAACTATTGCTTATTTGATGACAGGTATATAAAGGAGTTTTTCATGATTCAATAATTCTACTTTTCAATTGTTATCTACTGTAAAAAACTACGTCATCATCATCATCATCAACAGCCTATTAATATCCCCGCTGCTGGGGCACAGGCCTTTCCTATGGATGGAATCGAAAAGGGATAATGGGCCATGACAGACGAGGGCCCTGTGCGGACCAGTTCAACAGTTAAAAGTTCCGAAGCACACGGGAGCGTAATGATTTTTTGCCTTCTCGATTATGTTAAGAATCATATCAGCCAGCATCATATGTATTTTCAACTGCGGCGTTCCATATTTTGTATCATTTATCCCATATTTGTACACTGTCATACCTGCATGCAACGATATTAAAAGTTACATTGATGGATTGGACGCGGTCAACTTGACATGCTGTTCAAATGTTAATTGATGACGTTGTATTCGCAAGTCACTGCATAATGTTTGTTCTTTTTATGATACATTCCGATACCTAAATATACATAGTTTGGAGGATCTTATTTAGGTAAGTATGTATACCTTTTTCTAACTTCTTGTTCGGTGGGCCATAAAATACTACCGCTTTGATAAAACAAATTATTTTATGTCATTACTTAAGTGTTTTTGAGAAGCTCGATGGGATAATGGTAAGTAATACTTTAGATGGATGACCAAAATATAAAGGTTTACTTTCCGTGCTTCAGTTCCGGCTAACTGCAATCGTTAACCCACTAATGTGCAGTGGTTGGTGGGTTATTGGCTGCTACTTTTATTTTATAAATAAATAGTCCATTTATATCTGAGACATAATGTAGAAGTAGCAGTATGTCTGCGTTAAATATAATAGTTTCGTAGATGTAGTTCTAGTAGTCTGCCGAAAACGCTCCCTACAAATGGTGCTACGGTAGAGAAAAACGTATGGGCGTCTAAGCAGTTTTAGTTAATTTATTTGTTATTTGTTCGTTTTAACCTGTTATGATAACAATATTTTTCGTTTTATATAACTAATTAAATACCATATGTATTTTAGCAAATTTTTGTAATATATTTTCTCTACATTTTTCCAGTTTCAAAACGTTATATTTTCCGAAATATTGTCATAAAATTTATATTATTAAATATTTATTAGTTTCCCGACATATAATAATCTGGATTTTTACTTGTAGGACACAACCCTAATAAGGTAATAATTTACAGCCCGTAATAGGGATTAGATTACTTAATACTCGCTATTGTTAGTGCATGATGCTTCACGTAGTTGAAAATTTTATTTAAATGGACATATTAATCTGGAAAATGTTTAGTTATTACTAAACGCCAAATTCATAATAAGTATTATTATCATATAATATGTTAATGAAATAACGAAGGCTTATCTGTAACCCC